AAAAGAATTGGAGAGATAAAGAGAGATTTCTGTAGAGGATGGAGAAATTGCTTTTACAGTAGACTGGGTGTACAGAGGCAATGGGGGTATGGGGCAGAAGGAATGAAAGATAATTTGCTGGCTTTTGTTGAGTATTACTCGGTGTTGATTGTTTTTTGTTCAGCCAAAATTGTTACATTACTACATTACACAGTCTAACATCTGTGTGCTTATCACAGCTTGTCCCGGATCAGTGAGGTGGCGTCAGTGCAGATAAGTACAGTATTGACACTCCAGCCCAACCCAGGTCTGAGTAAGAGCCTGATTATTTCAAGCTGTGTGAAATCAGAGGAACAAGGCTGAGACGTCAGTCCTGGGAGATGACCCAGATTTCATGAGGAGATGCAGAGTGCAGAACGAGAGTGTGTCAGCTGTGATGGCCCAGAGACAGCATCACCCTGTGCCTCCCTGACAGAGACAGACCCTCAAGCAGACTCTCACAGGGCCCAGAATCATATCCTTTATGCTCAAGTGAAAAACATCCTTCAACATTTTCATTTCCCCCCAAAATGTAGGTAGTATTCTGATCCAGTGTTCAAATGATATCCAAACGTAATGTGGTTAATATTCTGAACCAATGTTCAAATGAAAACAAAATGTATTTTGTGTGTCTGAAATGGATACATCAATTGAATAATGAGAAAAAAAAGTTTCTTTGGCCTCCTGAACTGATCAATTTATAAAGGTGCTGATAGTGCTTGATGAGCTTTACGATTACAGGTTTGAATGGGATGCGTCACTATCCAATTTATTTGAATTCCCCACATAGGTAAGATTGGGGTTAGTTGCTTTGGACTCTCTCACACTGAGAGTTACATAACCTTACAGCCTCCAGCGTGCTTGCAGGCATGTGGTGCTGAGAGTGATGGACATGTCTCTGAAAAGACAAGGGGCACGAAGGTGGGTGGTTCGGAGCAGTGAGCCGAATTTCCTCATTCTTCCCCGTGTGCAGTTGTGGGGTTTGAAGCTGGAAGTTGAGGTGTGAAAAACAAGCAACTGGATATTCCACATCAGGTGCAAAAAAAAAAAAAACCTTGGCGATTCTATTTTCTTCAAAAATAGGAGAAAACTCAGCGTACCCCATACCAAGCAAATCGACACAGCTAACAGCAATTTACAGACCGCAGCGAACACAATATCATACCAGTACAAACAGGAACAAATTATACACTTCTGAAGTCGGGGAATCACACAACAGCATCATCTTAGATATTATTCTCTCAGGGAGTAAATTCAATTTACAGCTTTAGGATACTCTTTCCCAGACAGACATGATAAATGAGGGAGCCATTCCTTGGAAACATAGAGAATACTGCAGACTCCATTAGCGCAGCAGTTAAATTTGGAGTCCTGTCCTGTGAAGCCCTCTACCCAACTAAAGCTAGACCTAACCTCCAGCACAGGCCTTCACACACACACAGACAGCAGAGCTGCCATGTCCGTTCTTGTGTGTTTCAGTTCTCTCTGAGCAGATGGACAGAGCTTTGTGAGTTAAGATGTACAAGGAGTCTCGGCATATTCGTGATCTGAGAGGCTGGGGTAGTCAGAGAGGCAGACTAAACACAAGAGGTTTCAGACACACCAACTTACACAAACTCAAAAATTTGAATGACTACATTTCTCAGGTACAGAATTGCAGTACAGCATCAGTGTGGAAGCCAGTGGTGTGAAGCAATGTTGTTAAAGCCAGAGGCCTGGCTCCTTTCAAGAAATGGCTAAATGACATCCTAGATGAAATTAGCTGCCAATTACGAAACAGGATGGTTGTACCAGATGACTTCCTGTTTTTATGTCCTTTTAATCTTTTTGCTTTATCTCACTCTTATCCCTCCCTTTTTTACTGCTCTTAAACCCCCATTCTACCCCTTCTCCTCTTTCCTTCCCTCCTGGTATTTTCCCCTTTTCTTCCACCTTCTTCTCACTTCTCTCTTTGTGCCTTTTCTCTCTCCCACTCCCCTCTGTTTCCCACTCCCTACCTCTCTCTTCCCTCCCTCTCCCTCACTCTCTCCTCCTATTCCTCTAGCTCATCCATGCCTTTTGTCACACCTCACCCCTTTCCAGCTCTCCCCACGTCCCCCCCCCCCATCTCCCCCATCTCCCCTCGCTTTGAGGGTCTGAATGGTGGCATTGGGCCACAGGCCCCAGTAAAAGAAAGGCTTGGTGCCGTGATGGTGCTGGAGGTCACAGGGCCCTTTGTGACTTAGGGATTAAATTACAACACTTCATTAGTTCCTCAGAGGCACAGGGATGGGCGGGTAAACAGACACACTGTGCATGCCTGCCGTCTCCCAGTTTACCGCAGTGCTCCCCCTGCTGGCCCTTCAGCTCGCTGCACCTGCAAATAGACCAAATTACAGTCCCGTAGTGCAGGCTTGCGCACGTTCAACCAGGCACGTACTGTACATTCACACCAGTCACTTACACACTTCCTGAAAAGATGGATAGATTCCAGAAGACACAAGCAACTCTTTCTCGTTACTTCTGAGGTGCTTTTACCCAATAGCATTCACGCCTGCCCTCGTGCTTGACGCAAACCACCTTACAATCTCAGATATCAATGCTCAGAAAACAAAAAAGCCTTAGAGATGCAGCGATTTTCATAGTGTGGTGCAGTTCGATATCTCACGACACGCTTCAATGCCCTGTGAGTGTGCAGTTACCTCATCTTTAAGTACCTCAGCAGAGGCTGGTAAGAGTGCTGTGGTGTGAAAAACATCCTCCAGTTTGCTCTTGAGCGCTGGGGGAGTGAGAAAAAGGCCACAAATTGCTCATTTGCATCGTGTGAAGAGAGCCGGGGAGGGGGTGAGGAGGGTGGAGAGGCAGAACGGGGAGAGAGTTTTGTCAGAAAACAATCCCCACACTGCTGCACAAACCCCTCTTTGTGTCCACCTCTGCCGGCTCCCCCAGAGCCCGTCTTTCCCCCTTCCTCCTCTCTTGCTTTCCTTTATGTCTCAGCTTGGCGATGCGGCGGGGGCCCCCGAGGAACGATCATCAATCAGGGCGAGCCGGGGGACCATTCCCACTGCGCTCCCTCCTCACCGCGGGAAGCTCTACTCCTCTCACCTCCACCCCATCAATCTCCTCTCTCCTCCTTTTGGGGAGGCACAGCCTGGATTGCGGCGGTCTTTCTTGCCATCAGGCAATACCTGTACCCCATACCACGCAGCGGCCCTGGAAATGGCGTCACAGCCGAGACCCCAGGAAACAGAACTGTTTTATTTGTGTGCGTTCAGGTTCTCAGCAGACCACACGCAGACACACTAACACTGCCCCGGCAGCCCCACAGTGAAGAATAAACTGGGCTCCACATATTTTTGCCAACCCCTTCTTCTATAAGGAATGCCCTGCAAAACACATACATCTTCCATCTGGAGATATATGTATGAAGCACTGTTTTCATTTTTTTTTTAATTGTCCATTTTCTTTTCTTACTCCGTGGTTTTCCCACATTGTTTACACTGTCAGTCGCACTGGTCTGACAGCAGAGTGAGCATCGATTGGAGGAAGGATGCAGCTCTCACAAACAGCAGGGCTGAATGGTCCCCTTCCTTTTGTTATCGATGGTCTTGAAGTGACAGGACGCCGCCATTGTGGGTGATACCCTGGCAAACTCCAGCCTGCACGTCCCAGTGAGTGTTCAGCCAATCACCCACCACCAGGTTGTTAGTTAATGACAAGGCTGGAGATGCGTTGACCACAGGGCTCTGCCTTTGCTCTAATGAGAACTTTTACAGAGTGGGCCCTCCCACAAGTGCCTTGATGAAGCTGATCTGCAGATATCAGCATTTTAAATCAAAACATGTATCTATCTAACTAACATATAATGTCTTTCACCTTTTCCAAATGGCAAAAATAGAACCAACTTAAGGGATTTTTAATTGTTTTACGGTAAGAATATATTGCATACACATAATAGAGTTAACTTAATATGTGATGTTCTCATTCTGCTTTGTGTGTATTTAGTTATGTTATATTATAAGCATATACTGTAAATATATTATAAGTAAAGCAGAATTAAAATTCATTGCAGACAGTACCGACTAACACTTGTGCAAAACAATGTCACAGCAATGTAATTTTTCAGATTTTCCATGATTCATAGTGATTTTATCTGTTTTCTTGGACTCTTTCCTAAAGCTGAACAGTGTTTCTGGTTAGCTGTCTGATGATTCACCTCTGACTGAAGGTACAGTGCTTGCAGAGCTTAAAAGATTGGAGGTGTCTGGGACAATGTCAAACAACTGCTCTACAACAGGAACTCTGAATCCTGTTCCAGGGCATCTCCACACTGATTTTCGTTCTGTGTTGGCTCTAGACTTAAATGAATCTTTAACTTTATCTGGTGTTATGTTTTTGCTATAACAAACAAATGTATCCTTTGTTGGTGAGCATCATACTACAGTGGGAGGAATACATTTCAGTGAGAAGTATAGGTTCAAGCATCCTACATGTCCACTATCATACTATTACGCATTTTGCCAATAGCCCATATTGTACAATGAAAACATAAGGAGAGTGGTCTGTAGGATGTAGGACAAGTAGGATTTAATTGTGACTAATCGACATAAAAAGCAATCCTATTGTCATTTTAACTATTTTGTACTACACAAAAATAAATCTGAAAATTATTGTGGGACTTTTTGGGGATTAGAGGCCCAATCGGGGGTATTTACATATAATTTTATTGTAGACGTTTTTTATTATATAATCGACTTTTATTTGATTTATAAAATTCACCTTTCGGGAATACAGAAATCGATGGATGCCTGTTAAAAGAAACCAACGCACATTATTATTTACTGAAAAAATTAAAATGTTCAAACTACTCGTTTTATTTGTTGAATTAAAACTCATTTGAACGAAAACCAACAGTTTCAGGAACTCGATGAAGTGGGTTTAAAATCGCGTTTTTAAAATACCGTCGGTAAATTGCTGATTAAGTTTGTCCCTTTGCAGCTACAGTGGATCTGCGTACAATGCTTTTTGTAATGGGAGTTTGATATGAATTCTGATCGGTATGACCGTATAAATCGCTACAAAAAATACATTTAAAATAAGAAAAGGTAATCATTGTCAGCGGACTATATAATCTCTAAAATCATTTACACGGTATTCAAATGAAAACAAGATGTAATACTTGTGAATTTGTTGTTACTAATCGTCTTCCTCACTAAATTAACTAAACTTCTTACTAGACCTTCTTAGTATGAGCGTACCTGTTAAATGGAAAACGTAGCAAATCGTATCTTCAAACACGATACGTAAAACGTAGATTATTTTTTATGATGTCAGTATTGTATTTTAAATATTTACGATCTATTTTATTTTGGGGAGATAAGTAGTATGGAAAAATCATTTTATCCAGAGTGATATGTGTAGAAATGTGCTGTGGCATTCTAACTAAGGGAAGCTTAACACTGGTGATGATGATGATGATGATGATAGAACTGTATCGTCTTGTTAGCGCAGTGACAGCCTCGTCCCTGGACGTGTTGCTATGTTCCCAGAGCTCAACAGCATCCTGAATACCAGCCCCGACCACTTCCCACGGGTATGTTTTTTCCCCACTGTCTCTGTATGCTAGTTTTTGTAATCGATGGAATTACAGTGGAGTTAAGGTCGGGACTCTGTATTTGTAATTGGAAGTTTGTGGGTTCAAATCCAAAGTGTGACGTCTCTATTGTTGCGCACGGTACTTTACTTAAGTTGTTTATGTAAAGTTCTTCTATCGGAGTAATTAATTTGAATTGTTTTGGATAAAACGCCAGCATAATAATAATAATAATAATATGTGCTGTTCAATTCAAAAGTGTCTTCAAGCCACAATCTATATACCACTACAAAAGAGCTCCAAATGAGAGCCCAGATAGTCCTGTGGTAGTAGAGATAGTCAAATATTGAACTTTAAGAAAGTCGGGAATGGTAACTTGGCAAGTTAAATATAGTGGTCAATTCAATCAGTGTAAAAAAAAGTATGACCTCTGAACTAAAAAGGCATCTTTCGGTCATTATATTGTTATATTCTTATGTCTGTCTTTGCAGGGGGAGTTCACCCTGGTTTCAGACAGACAGGCAGATGCCTCCTTCCTCATTCATCACTTCCTCTCCTTCTACCTCAGAGGTGAGTGGCTCTCAAAACCAGCTGCTGTTTACTGTCTGTCACTTGCAGTGAACTGACAGACTAACCTGCTGGTAAAAACATATTTTTTTCTTTGTTCAAGCTAAGAATAAATACGTGCTTCGTCCATTTCAGAGCAATGGAACCTAACAAATGCATTTATATTTAATAAATCCAACTAATTAGTATTATAATCCATTGAATTACTGCTTAGTAAGAAGAGAAGATAAATTACAAAGGAGATGAGGACATTCAGCCGTGTGGCCCAATTAATAGTTAGTTTGTTGAGCTGAGGAGTTCATCCAACCATTTCCTGAGAGAAGCCAGAGTATTGGCATCAACCTCATGGCTGAGTGACGTGTTCCATATTCCAATAGCCCCTCTGGAAAAAAGGTGCTTCTTGTTTTTAAATTAACTTCTTTGTAGTTTCTACTGGAGCCCTCTGGTTAATGTTTTACCGAAGAAGTCCTCAAGGTTGATTTTTTTTTAAGGATTTTCAATACTAGTCTCATATCCCATCATATTCTGCTGTGTTCAAGATGAGAAAGTGTCAGTTAGTTCTGTCTGTCAGTGCAGCATATTCCTTTAAATCCTAATCCTATTATTGTAGTTCTGTTCTATTCCTATTAGTCCTATCCTGAAGCTGGTTCTTTGTGTCCCTCTGTTGTTTGCCACTGGCTGCCTGAGCTGAAAAGAGTGCTGATTGATAACTGCGACTGTGTTTTTCTTAGCTGGCTGCAAGGTTTGCTTTCTGGGCCTGGTGCAGTCCTTCAGCCACTACAGTGCTGTGAGCCAGAGACTGGTGAGTAATGTTGACTCTGGGACACAGTTCTCGTCTGAGGCACCATAGCACAATTAAACACACCCACAAGCTCAGGGAACTCAGCCCAGGCACATGGCCATGCGCGGGGGGGGGGAGATCTGAAGAGCGTTCATGTCCAAATTTAGAAACAAGAAGTATGAAGGGATGAGACAGACCTTGAATTCCTCCCACAATTAAACAGGTCATAGTCACTTAAAGAGACTCTTAAATTGTTCATTGATCATGAGGGAGGACATGTCAGTTATACATCGAATGTGTCAAAAAGGCTGAATGATTTACAGAAAAGAATGTCATAACTGCAGCTAAAACCAGTGGTGGCTCATAAGACAGACAACTATAAAAGAATTTTAAATGTTCCTTCCTTAAAACATGTTTTAAACTGGAATATCATTTATATGGACTTAATGGAGGATTTGCTGATTACAAGTTAAGGTTTTTATATTAATCTACAATCTACATTTTTTAGTAGCAGTCGCTGATGGGAGAAAAGCAAACATTTCAGTTGTATTTTGTTTTGCAGCAGTTGTAATTTAACATATTTACATATAGAGACACATGAATCATTTACTCCACAGTAGGTTTGTTGAAAAAATATCATGCGTAATTTCCAGCTAGCAGAGAAATTGGTCTGTAAAAATATGCTATCACTTTGAATTGTCTGTTTCAGACCAAGTGTTTTACTCAGCCTTTATTGGTACTGAAATAATGAATAGGAAAAGAAAGGGGCAAAGAGTATAACCTTGAAATTGATAGGAATGACAGTTTTTATGTATTTAAATTCCATGTTAAAATGTGTTTTAAAGGGAGAATAGTGGGGAAAAAACCCTGAAGGTAAATTGTCTTTCACACTATACTAAAACATGAACAGATATTTTCTTCAGATACTCAAACAGTATGCACAGCACACACAGAAGAAATTTGTTCTGTAAATCAAGGGAATTTGTGTTAACCGTATGTACTACACTACTGAGACCTCATCTGAAATATCAAAAAGGCCACTTTTACATGAAAAAAGTACTGACAGGTTAAAGAAACTATGTCTCTTTTGTCTTGAAACAAATTGCAAGAAGATTTTTAGTCAGTTCAAAATCCAGAAGGGTACTGACAAAGTCAACCCAAGTGCAAATTAAAAATGTGCATGCAGGATTCAATGTAAGATGCTAGAGTAAGAGCTGGACAAGCAAGATTGTTTGAATGACAATCTTGAACTTGGTTTGAATGAGACGATGTCCAAAAAACGGGGGTTTTCTCTGGCCACAGAGGAACATGGATATGCTGGATTATTTTCTGAAATAGGGTGGGATCGATTCTGTGTGTATTATAGTTGGAGTATTTGGTTGTGCATATGTTTTACGTCCTGGTCTACTTGTGTGAGTGTTTTATAGGGAGTGAACCTGGCCCAGGCTAAGGAGAAGGGCCAGCTGGTGTTCCTTGAGGGGCTCAAAGAGACTCTAAGCATCCTGTTGCGGGAGAATCGTAGCTCTGACACAGACACGCTGAGCTTCTTGAGGTGATGTACCTGCCTGTCTGTCAGCTTCTCTGTCAGTTAGTGTCTCACAGTCTCTTTGGTTACTCTCTGGAATGAACACAATCTTCCCTTCCTCCAACCCTCTGTGACCTCTCTTGTCCCAGCAGGTCTCCCTGTACTGACCTCCGAGGGCTGTTTGGGTTTGTGCGGGGCTGTGTGCGTGGGGAGCAGGGCCCATGGGGACCCCCAGTCCTGATTGTGGACGACCTGAGTGTGATGCTCAGCCTGGGAGTGAGCGCAGATGCCCTGCTGGATTTCAGTCATTACTGCCAGGCCACAGTCTGCTCAGAGCTGCAGGTCAGCCTTGCTCATAAGATAAGATAGATAAGATCAGTGTTTTAGCCATATACAATTAGAAGTTTGTCTTTTCGCATACCCCAGCTTGCTCTCCTAGAGACACACAGGCACACAGACGGGGAGAGAGAAGCTTGGGGTCAGAGCCCAGGGTCAGCCATTTATACAGCGCCCCTGGAGCACTTGGGAGTTAAGGGCCTTGCTCAGGGGCCCAATGAAGTAGGATTCCTCTGCCAGCCACGGGATTTGATCCTTAGCCACAGAGCCACCGTTCCGCCCACATTTACTCTGACCATTTACCCAGATGGTTTGGCATGCCATATCTTGTGCAGCTTCCCTTATTGTTTTTAATTGAGATCCACAATTAATCAAAAATATGGTTCATTTCTCTTTCTCTAACTCTTTTATATCTACTGTTTATGAGCATGGGTGCCACTGTACAGTAGGTGACATATTACAGTATCAGTTCTCTCTGAAATGAATTTTAATTCTGCTTTCCTGTGAGTGAGTTGTACGAGATGTGCCACTTTAATGGTGTCCCAAAAGGCTTACTACTTAGCAGGATGTCAGAAAATTAAGTAGACTCAGTACTTTTAGTGGTCTTTGTGCACCTGTTCAGTTTAGTTCAAAACAGCCCCTAGCTTTCTCTAGCACCTGAAATCATATACAGTTTATACAGTTTTGTATAGCAGCTGTATGAATATGTTTCCCCTGTAGTGTTACAGCTGTGTTGTTAGTACTGACCTCCATTTTCTTTTCCTCCTGGAGACTCCTAAAGTTTGTGTGCGTGCACATTTTCATTTTTTCTTAGCACAGTCCTAAGGTGGTTTACACATGTACTTTATTTTTGATATGTGGAAGTCAATAAAAACAGATTTACAAATTCTGTTAGGAATGGGGGTGGTATTGATGAGGAAAATTAAAAAGGATAGATTGTTCAACTTGTCTTGCCAAGGAAACACGTTGTTGATTGTTGTTGTACTGTAGAGCACTTTGAGAAGCCACTTTTAAAGGCACTGTATAAAAATAAAGGATAATAAAATAAGGAAACATTTGAACTTTAGATAGGTAAAGGGCAGCTGCTGTACGGTTATCTAAGCATGCCATTAGTTCTTGAAGGTGTTAATTGACTGGAAATGCCTCAATGCCAGCGGTGTTGTGAAATGTTTTCAGAGTCATTGTAGTGAGGACAATCTTCATTCCCAGTTCTGTGGCAGCTTTGTGTCGCTTTGGTAAATTCCAGCCTGATTCAATCCATCTCTCTCTCTCTCTCGATTTCCCCCTCTTACCCCACAGGGTAATGTGGTGATGCTGACACGCGGCGAGGACGAGGAGGGAGAGGATGACGAGGACTTGGGACGGCTGCTGACAGGCCTCGCACACAGCTGTCATCTCGCGCTCCGGGTGCGAGGCCTGGCTACAGGATACTGCAAGGACATCCACGGAGAGGTACAGTACGCTGGGCTGGTTGTGTGTGTGTGGGTGGGTGTGTGGGTGGGGTCTGAGGGTGCATCAGCCTGTGACTAAGCGCTGCGGTGTGGTCTGTGTTTCAGGTGGAGCTGTGCTGGCGGGGGGGACGCACCAGTGTCAATTTCAGTGGGCTGACAGATCACCGGAGGGTGTACCAATACAAGATCCAGGACAAAGGGGTGTCCTTTTTTGCCAGGGGCACTTCCAGCGCTGTCCTTTGATCTGCGATACCCCACAACTTGGATTTGCCCCTGGCACTTCCTGGAAATGGCCTGTTGAACACCCAGGGGGTGTTCAGCTATTTACTGTGCAGGTCAAGAAATCTGAAAGGATCTCGGGACAAGAAGGACCATAATTCACAAGAGAACAGTGTCATTCAAATGTGAGAACAATACTTTAATAAACAGTTCTGAAGAAGGTGCTGTGTGCTTCCCTCTGTTCTTGATTCCTCCTCTCTAGGAAGTCTTAGATCCTTTTAACAATCTGCAGCCTGAGAAACGTGAATCTTTTGCAAACTGTTATGAGTGAATTTAATAACATACTCCTTGATTAATGGCTCTGAAAACCACCGTCAGTTGGCGGTTGCCTTGAAACTGTCTCTCAGTTGATTAATTTCTCGGTGTTGCCTGCTGTAACTCAACCATTGAATCACAAGACCATGTGGATTGGTTACTGTCTCCTTCAACGTACTTTGTCTGGAATGTTCTCCCTAGTTGGTTATACAGTATGCTCTGCAGATCAGGTTTGCTCTATCTTACCTCCTTGCACCCCCAAACAGCAGTCACAACACCTGCTAGTCTGTACCTTGTTGTTAGCATTCATGAGCAGACAAGTCCATTTTGAAAGAAAAGTAGCTGCTTAAACTTAAACTAAGGCATCTAGAGAGACTATTGAGTTCATGTGTTTATCATGAATAAGTATACATCTTACTGGGAAAACAGCAGTTTGCTTTGAGATCTGATCTTTCTCAGGGTGGTATGTAGGAGTTTTTTTTAAATTAATATTTGATTAAAATGATTGTAAGTATTAAGACCTGCAGGAATAAATTTCATTGGCTAAATGTGACAAAGCCAACAGGAAGATGTCCTCTATTTATAGGATATAAATGGTGCTTGCAATCGTTTTCAACCTGCCAGTGGAATATGGAATAATAATCCATCATGTTTGAAAAGTCACCAGAAATCTATGCAAGTAACTGCTAATTGATGTCCTTTGTTGACAGAAACCCAGATAACATTTCGTGAAACGTATTTTCTGTTTCAACAATATTTGGCTGAGATTACACACTTCACCAGCAGAGGCCGCCCGCTCCCAGTGTTTTGCTGTGAGTGAAGGGGGTGAGAGTTCGGAGTGGAGAGGTCGCTTGCTTGGGATTTCACGCCGCTGTCAGCGAGTGACGGGGTGCCGTGGCTGTGGGTCTGTAGAGCCGGTAACACTGTGGGAATCCATGCAAATAAACCCCGAAAACAGCGACTGGATAGCGTAAACAGCGTCCGCTCATCACCGGGAACGGCGCAGTGAGGTGAGAGGCCGATCGAGCGCGGTTTCCTGGGTTTTTGGGGCGGTTTCGTGGAAGATATCCCCGGGTCCGCGCGTCAGGCCCTGACCTCCCGGAGCAGGTCTGGAGAACAAGAAGGGGAGAGGAAAACTGGGATGGCCGGAGAGTGGGAAGCACAGTTCGCTCTGTTAATTTCCGACAAACGAGAAGAGTTTTGGAAATAGGTGTAGATAGAGAGAGGCGGCACGGTAATCGCAGCTTCCCCGTGTCAGGGGGAGCAGCCGAGCTGCCATGGAGACAGAAGTGACAAGTTCTCTTTAATAACAATGTTCACATCAGTCGCCTCTCGAAGATCCTCGGCGCTCAGCCGTCTGCGAGCGTTTCATTTAATATCAAAACCTGCTGGAGTTTATACTGTAGCACCGTGCGGTACCTAGGCATCGTGTTACCGACGATTTTAATACCTATCTTTTTCAAATATACATATAACTTTTATATGAAAGTACCACTGTGGTTTACTAAGCACTGCTTTGAGTTTGTACGGTGTATACTCATTGAATCTGTTGTTACAGTGTGAATTGTGTTAAGTGGTGTAGTAGCAGTTGTGTAAAATAACACTACCTGTTAAGCACTCGCTTCTGTCGCTCCGGCCCATGTGTACACCTGCCCGGCAGCGGTAAGGGGACGTGTCCGGTTATTAAGTACCAGGTCTTGCCAACCAGTAAGGCCTTCGTGCCTGTTGGAGATATCTGGATCTTCGTGTACAAGGTCGTACTAAGGAGTCTCGGTCCTTCACCTCAGTGTAGTCACTGACACCTCGGCCTTCAAAAGTCATTCATTTCCACGTGGGCTATGCCTGATAAGTCCGTCATTAAGAAAACAATGCCGTAAAGATGTGCAAAAACGTTCTAGCTAAATATGTCAGTATGCCATTCGGAGTCAACATGGGAAGTTTAGGAAGGTTCTTTCTGGTTCTGTTTTTTTTAGTCCTGTGTGGTATAAGCAGCTAGTATGAGTGAGTGTGACTGTTATGAAAGACTTGTACAGGCTGGGGGTCAGAACAAACTGTAAATACCGCGTTGAAAACCTGCTCTATGGCCGCTGGGTGTTGCAGGGCTCTTGCATCACTTCCACAGTGTGTGTGTGGTGGGCAGGCTTGCTCTGAGCAGTGTCTCGCTCGCTCTGTGGAAGCTCTGATCTCTCTCGCAGGAAACGCAGATGGAGCACAGGGTAAGCTCTCTTACTGCTCGCATTCTCCTGCCCTGCCCTGTGACAGGGACGGATTCTGGGAGACACTGCAGCACCTGTTCGGGCAGGATCCATCCAGTTTCACCTGACGCACACACCCATTAGGTCTTTAGAAGAGTGTCTGCAGAGTTCACTGCTTGGGACAGTGGGAGCTGTGCTGTCAGGGCAGAAATAGAGAGTTAAAGGAGGTTCCGACAGTGTCAAGCAAAACAACCACTGGGACATGCCACAAACTCAACACAAACTGTAATGCTAACTGGCCCAAGCAAGACAATGCATTGTGGTGGACTACCTAACCAGGGTGAGAATCAAAGAGAAGCAGATCCTGTCTAAGGGCAGGCTCAGTGCCCACTGCCCGGCCATTGAAACTAGGTGACACAGACAGACCCGGCTACCCAGAGAGGGCAGGTTGTGCTCCTACTGCCAGCAGAGACAGTGGGGCAGGCAGGCTGGGAGAAACAGGGGGCTTGCAGGCTGCTTTGTGTGTACACAGTGTGCTTGCGACAGAGGCGCCAGTAAGAAGAGAGGAGAGCGTGTGGCTCTGCTCTCACTGTGTCTCTGCTTCGCTCTGTGTCCATGCTGCTAGCCCAGCTGTTCTGGTAGGTTGCCAGAGATCTTTCTCTGCTTAAACATGCCAGCTTCTTCAAAATATTTTAAGGTCATGGTGCATTCAGGGCAGCCAATTTAAAAAAAAATTAAAAATACACTAAAATATGTATATTGTATATTTATATATATAAATACATTTATTTATATATAATATATGTGTATTTTACTGTTATCTGTTTTGTTTTTACAGTGGTGCAGGTGAGTAAAACACCAGTACTGCCTTGTTGGAGCTGGACTATGTAACTATATCATGAGGAAATCCACTCTTTTGTATATTCGCTCTTAATCTTGATATTTGTTTGCTGATTCTGAGATAACTGCTCTGTACATGAGACTGTATGTCAGGGTGGCGACTGACGATGAAGGGATTAGGGGTTGCGTTGAGAGTGGTACACTCTGACGTTCCATTAGCTGTTTCTTGGTAAAATAATTTTCTAAGAATTGTAAGTGACTAGGGCCAGAGAGACAGACAGGTCTGTCTGGAATTTCTGGAATAGGATCTTGCTATCTGCTTTGAAAGAAGGGAGGGAAGTGTCAACGGTGATAACTGGTGGTGATAATCTGTGTGTACTGCAGACGAGGCAGGGGGAGTTCTTGAGAGATGTGGTTTTCGATCTTCCTCTGCATTTCAATGGGAAGTAAAAGGCAATGCATTAAAGACCAAGAGCAGGAAATCTGCCTTTACACAGATAGTGGTGGATGTCCAGAACACGCTGCCCAGCCACGTTGTTGTAGCTGAGTCTGTTAGACCTGTCAAGATCAGATTAGTTACTGTAGCTACTGGGAAATAACCAAGCAAGCGGAGCCTGGTGCCACTTGTTACATTTCTTATATGTTCACTCTGCAAGTCCAAAAACTGCATTGAAAAATAAAGAACAGAATGGAAAAAATAGAGGTCACAGACCTCAGTTGCAGATATATTTTTTGCATTAGAACATTTTGCTGAAAACGAGAATAATTAACGAAGGGCCATAAGGAAATAACATCTGTAGTATTAGTGCCTTTAGTTGTGTTCATGCCTGCAGCTGCATGAATTTAAGATAATGCAAGTATTTAAGAATTGCTGATGGTTAGTGTTCTGCCTGTTTGATGGTGAGTGGGACTGTGATTCCTATATGACAACATCAGATCATAAATAAGACATTTTATTTCTTGACAGTTAACGACTATACAACGTACAACCCTCGTATATAGGTCAAACCCTCATTCCGCAACTCAGAGCTCATCACAAAGTTACGATTGTAAAATATACGATTCTTAACACTATGAGATAAGCCTGCAAAGAAGAGATCATAGTTCTTCTGAACTTGGGAAAGCCCCAAGCAAATATTAAATGATAGAGCTATAAGAGGAAGTAATTTTGTTGATCTGCTTATTGTAAAAGTACAGTTATCACTGTGGCAAGGTGGTTTTCATTGCTGCCTTGCAGCGCTGGGGCCCAGGGTTCAATAACACACCCGAAGTGCTATCTGCATGTAGTTTGTATGTTCTCCCTGTTTTTGCTTGGGTTTCCTCCCGCATTACAAAAACATACTGGTAGGTTAAATGGCTTCTGGGAAAGCTGGCTCTGGTGTGAGTGTGTGCGTGTCTGTGTCAGTTTCTGTACACTGCAGGCCTTGTGTCCCCTGCAGGGTGTTAGCCACGTTTGTGTGTGTTGCTTGCCTGGATAGGACTGTGAGGTAACCATAGCCTGTATGGGAGTAAGCAGTTAGTAAATGGATAGCGGGGTGGATGGATTATTGTAAAAAGACACTATCACTGTTCAGGACTGTGAAAACGCTTGGCGAGTGATGCACAGTTTTGACGAGTGTAAAGCACTATGTGTCTGCAGCTGGTGTACTACAGTAGGTGCTGCCGGAAGTGTTAAACTGGTGTGGAAGAAGCCACTTGTGCACTGTTATTGCCATGTGGGTAAGGCTGGGAGATTTCTTGGTCAAGTAGAGTGAGGGCTTAATGAAACTAGATTTTAGTTTACAGTGCCTGGAAAGAATTAAATTAAGAACAGACTCGCCTAAAAATAGGACATGCATTTACACACGGATTTGTGGGGAGCTGTGTCCAACTTCCCTTTCAGGAAACAGCTTGTGGTGCCTTAAGAATTGGCTGAATTCTGTGATCAAACGGTTCATATCAACCCAATATAAAGGAAGTCCAAATGGAAAAACAGTGTTGTGGATTTTATCTATGTAATCTTATGAGATGACGAGGATCTGGTGTGCTGTTTGAAGAGATATCAGTCATTGCTTGTTTTTTTTTAATGCTTCCCTATATGGTTTCGTATAAACGTATTCACTTTAAGATATTCTGAATTTATGCATATTTTTGCTGCCGAATGTTATCAGAGCTCCACATGGGTCTAAGTGATACATAAAGGCACCTTGAGTAAACAAATAACTCAGGAGTTTAGTGCTTGTTTCATTTATTTAAAAAACAGTCATCCAACGTCCAAATGTCCCTGAGTGGAAAAGGTTAACTGATTCTCCCCTGAGATTCAGTAACTGGTTGCTCCACGTTTAGCTGCAGGAACTGCACCCAAATACGTCCCGTAGTTGAGCATCGGTCTCTCACATGGTTGTTGGAATATTGACCTGTTCCCCCGTGGCAACCTGCTGGAAACTGCTGTAAGGGGGGTGAATACTTTCAGAACGGTAGCTGTCCTGAGGATGTGATCTGTAGCTGAAGTGCTCATCTGGAGACTGCACTCTGTGCTTTGGAAACTGTATCATTGCTGTGTATCGCTGATCTCTGTAGCCCATCTGGGACCTGTGTGTAATGGTGGAGCCCCACTGCAGTCACATGCACAGCTCTGCATGCCTCCTTATCTCACAGGGGAGTTAATTTGTGATTTACTGTAGGACAGTTAAAAGGATAGCCCTCAGGAGCTGAGCTGTAGAGTTCAGGCTCTGCAGAGCTCACGTTGTCCATGCAGTACCAGCAGCACCGCAAGTTCTCCACACCTGTCTCTCTGGAAGACCTGGAGCCAGTTGAAAGTTAAAAATGAATTAGTTGCTCCTGCCGTTGAGGATCAACATAAATAATTAAGAGTCGGTAGGAGCACAATGCTGCAATGAAATAGAGCCGAGCTGCTGCCTGTGCCCGCCCCAGCCCCCGGGGAGTTTGGTCTGTGTGAACAGGTCCTGTTCTAGTGGGATTTCGCAAACGCTGACTCCAAAGTCCTTGGCAGCGGGATATATTTGCTCCTTGCAGTTTGCCACTTTCTCCGGAGAGACTGTCTAAAAATATTGCATCACAGTGTTTCCAAATGTTCTCGTCCCCAGCAGGCTTTTAGAGAATGTGTGCAGAGCACTGCTAGGCCCCAGCAGCCCGTGTACATACCCGTGTGGCCAAACTGTGGGTATGGAAGTGTTAGTGTGCACTAGAGTATTTGACACATGGGCTAATCACCACTTACTGCTGTCTTTAATACATTTTCAGTGTATGAAATACACTGTATTACTGCTTTTTCTGGTCTTTTTCCACTTGTCTTATTTCTCTTTCTTTTCCTTTGTCCTAGAAGTACTATACTGCATGTCTTGGATGGATCTAAATAGTCCGGGCTTACTGCTTTCATACACACACCTCACAGCAAGCATACAGTACGTTAGAGACGCACCAATTTGCACCTCAGCTGGGGATTACAGTTCCCCTTTCTGAGAGATTGCACTCTGTGTGAGCTTTTACTAAGCTGTGGCTGCCCTAAGAGTGTTAATAAATGATTCTGTTGATTTAAAAATATTTCAAATACGGGGACATCAGGAGCCTGCAGTAGTTCTGAGCTGTAAATGTGTGAGACTGTAACAGGGGTGAGAGGTCAGTGATCTTGGTGCAGGTTAAAGGTAAACGCAGTGTGTGCAGTTATTAACAGTGCAGTAGAGCTTTGCATGCATTTGCCTCTTATTTATGGGTTGTTCAATAATATATCTGCTATTGAAGTGCTTTGAAAATGAAGCCTTGTTAAATTAATAAGGGTGGAAAAGCCTAAAGTTAGCTGTCACATCCCCTGTGTCATAGCCTCTTGGATACATAAAGAAACAGTATAGTTACAGACCTTGTCCTGGAGACAGAGAGCCCCAAAGGTTGGAAACTTTAAAGTTGTGACTCTTCGTTCCGTACCTGAATTTTGTAAGCCATACATTTGTATACCATATTTGCACACACCACACTGTATTTAATTTTTTTAAATTGTGAAAAAATGAGAATGTTAACCTTATATACTGTATTATACTGTTCTTAATGTAACATTGTTTTGTTAAATTGGGATTCTCTGACATCTGAATTCCAATGGGTGATAAATGCATAAAAGCCACATCATGTTGCAATTTGTGCATTGGATGGCCATCTGCAGGACCTCCCTCTGCATCTGCTCTGTAATAGTATGCAGCTTCATTAAAGCCACACTAAAAACTGTTCCCATACTTGAAGTAAGAGTAACACCTGTTCTGGTTCTGCCATGCTGAATGAGTCATGTGACCGTTGTTGTCAGATAATTAAAAAATACATGAAATATTTTGAATCACGATATATTGTACTACAAAAAAAATCATTTCACCTCATTTTTCGGGTGATGGGTATGTTGTTGTTGAGACAGGCTCAAAGTCTTTTTCACATGAGTCTCCATTTTTCACAGTTACGTTTTATGTTATTACTTGTGAAGGACTGCAGACATGCCTGTGAGAACCCGACACTCCAGATCACACTTGTTGTGATATACCAGTTCTCAAATTGTTGTTAGGAGCAGTTAAAAATATAGGCGTTAGCCGCTTGTAATTAAAATGAGAAATTCTGATAAAAAGGGTTTGATAGCGTCGTGCCAATCATTAGAATACTTCAAAATGAGGTGAATTGTTGGATTTTTATGGATACACTTGACACCGATGGCCAGGGCAGCATTTTTACAATGAATTCTGATATTACTGATACAGTTTTGGGGCGGCACAGTGGTCAGCATTGCAGCCTTGCAGTGTTGGGGCCCCGTGTTCCATTCCAGACCTGGGGAGCTATCAGCTTGGAGTTTAGACATCCTCCACACATCCGTGTGGGTTTTCTCCCACAGTCCAAAAACACACTGGTTGGTTTAATTGGCTTCCAGGAAATTTGGCCCTGGTGTGAGTGTGTTTGTGTCTGTGTGTGCTATGCGATGGGCTGGCATCATGTCCAGGGTGTATCCTGTCTTGTACCCCATTGCTGGTAAGGATAGGCTCCGGCTCTACTGCTGGCATGGAGGGATACAGTCCTCTTAGTTGAAATGAGAAGCAAGAGGCTTCTCCGGTTCTCGGTTCTTTGGTCGGGGCCGGGCAGAGGGATCGGACTGGCTGGAGGGGGTCCGCCCCGGTATGAGGGCAGCAGTGTCCTCTCCCCAGTGGGGCAGTGCAAGAGAGAAACTGGAGGGCAGCAGGGCACTGACTCTGAGCTCTGGTCTGAACTCTCTTCTGCAGATTGCAGTGGGTGTTCACATTTGTCCTTTTTCCACCAAACCTCTTGCCACATCTGTCTCCAGAGGTGCCAGCGGCAAAGCTTGTGGCTGTCACAGACCTGGGTTGTGGGGCGCTGCTTAAAAGAAGTGTTTGTAGTGCCATCAGCTGTGCTGAGACGCCTCCTTTAGCTGCCCGGCATTTGTGCTGCTTTGCGCTGGTAAGTGGAGTGTACAGTATTAGCTTTGTTCATGCCGTGAGCACTGTGTTGTGAAATCCCATCAGGAATGTGAGCCGGGTTGCAGGGCTGTGCGGAGCGGAGAGCAGGGAGGGTCAGTGTACAGCGGGGCTCGCGGCTTCAACAATGGAGCACTGTCTGCGGCTTTGGACCGAAAAACCTAATAGTTGGAGGAATTTAAAAGGCAGGATAAAAGCTGCTATAAGAAACAAGTAAGTAGAAGCTGCTATAAGCCTTTCCCTGAGGTGCCCTAATGATGCGTTTTCTGCAGATGTCGAGGTCTTCAAAACAGATAGACAGGGAGGAACACTGGGGGCTTCGCTGTCACCCCCGGCACCTGGGAGCAGTGGAAAAGGAAGCAGCTCTTGAAAAAGGCAGCTAGACAATTTGATCCTGACCTGAGTCGTAATGCCTGCGATCAAAACGAAGATAATATTATTTGGGATCTTTCTTGGGAGAGCAGTGCGGGCATTCCCGAGATGCCACGCTTCTCAGAGCTGTGGCTTTGAATGCATGTGTGCATTGCATGCAAGATAGAGACGTCTAATGTTAGTCTCTGAATCACAGCTTTGCTGTCATTCTCAGGCCTGTCCACAGGTGCTGAATGCTCCTACTGGCCTATACTGGGAAGTAGCAAGGGGGACACGGACTAGAAATAAGACAGCTCTCCTTAGTTGCCAAAAGGCCAACCCAGAAGGATTTCATAGGTTTCTATAAAATGATCAAGCACCATACACCTGGAACTATGGTGTAGTTGGGTGATTTGAAAGAACAGTTTGCTCAATTAGCTGAGAGCTCAGATGGAGTGAAAATTGTAAGGCTCAGTTGGCTCTTGAGGACTTAAATTGAGTAGCACTGGTGCAGTTGTAACATGTGCCGAATCATGAGTTAAGGTCCAGGCGATGTGTGTACTTGGCCTGGGGTTGTACTTGTGCACTGTGCTGGGGTTAACATACCTGGAGCACAGTGCCCGTGTCGGGGAGGGTAATGTGTACACTACAGTAAGGACATCTTCGCCCACTGCTCTGCTTCACTAACCCTGTTTTTGTTTGTTCCCAGGTCCCTGAATGCCCCCCGGACCCCTGCTCTCTGCCCCACGGCGCCCCCCAATGGCTCTCAGCTGACCCCCAGGATGACTGTGAGTGAGCGGCTACAGAAGCGCATCTCCGCTGCATTCTACCGGCATGGGTTGCTTTGTGCATCGTACCCAGTACCCATCATCCTCTTCACCGCGGTCTCCATCCTGGCCTGCTGGTGAGTATCGCGGGGCAGCCAGACCCCGAAAAAGACACAGAGGGAAGGATGTAAGAGAAAGGAGGAAGATCAATGTATTTCATTGAAAGAGGGAAAGTATGTCTGTCAATGCTAGCTATCCTTTCTTTCCACTTATATCAAGAAATTATTGTGGGAGTATGGGACAAGTCACCCAACCATGTGGTTGATGCCGATACGCTGAATGAGATCCTTGGATCAATTAAGTACTAACTACCAATTGGGCTAGATGGGCCTAATGTCTTCCTCTTGTTTATAACTGTACTTATGTTCTTAAAAAGCATATATCTTATATATATATTGAAACATCAACATTTATTATTGCTGCTGCTTTTAAGATGAACAGTAATACCCTAATAATATCTGTATTTCCCTACAGAGAGTGTGAGGGGCCATAAGACTGGATGTGATTCAGTTGTTAGTTTGCCAGTCATTGGTGATGTTGCAGCAACAGAATTAGTGGTGCTATTCAGGGCTTTGCTGCTATCTTTAGTCAAGTGGGGCTGAAGACAACATTTCCAAACCCTGTCTGCAGCCTCACACTGAGAGAGCCAGGCATCGTCTTTTTCCAGCCAGCCAAACTCCCAGTAGATTTAAGCACATCCTCAATGCAGTTTAATTACACAGCTTTCAACAGCAGATCTTTGAGTATACACTGCCTTTCAAAAGCATTTTCTGCTTCCAATGATGTCCTGTTTTGATGAATTACAAATTATATACGCACATTATTTTTTGTGCTACTACAGATTACAACAAAATCATCCAACCTCAACAGTTTTTTGTTAACTTCTTTCCCGGCTGCTTAATTTGGAGGCACAGTCTGATGTAGGCAGTGTCTGGGTGGTACACTACAGATTCCAATTCTTATATGATTGACTTCACCATGCTGAAAGGCTGTACAGTGTCTTTGAAATATTTTTATACCCTTCTTCTGATCTATGCCTTTCTACAACTGTTTCCCTGAGTTGTTTTGAAACCTGCTTGGTCTTCATGGTTAAATGTTTGCTTGAAAATCACTACCTGACTGAACGGCCTTACAAAGACGGGTACATATATGACATCATATAATTGCAGTCTTACCACACACAGATAGGGGGACACTCAGATAATTGTGTGACATGTCACAGTAATTTTATATACCTGATCTAATTTAGGTTGGCCTTAGCAAAGGTGGTGTATTATTATACAACATATTTATCTTTTTATTTCCCAGATATAGGCGATTAATATATATATATATAAGTATTAGTTCTACCAGTAACTACAGTCTAAAGTAATGTCAAATCAAAAGATTGAAGAAAATCAAATGTACTTGTTCATCTGTCTTTAAACTGCAAACACAATGATAAGGATAATAATGATGAAGACAGACTTTAAGGGCTTTCTCTAGCCCTAGCTCTGCCTCAACAGCATGCTAACTGAGAACTCCATTAGAACATCTTTTTTCAAATCATTAAAAACCTGCCTAATGTAGAAACATCATTACAGAAGATGAATCTATAGAGCTTTTAGATGATCAGCTAGCTACAGTAGGATAGGGTTAGCTTTCCGACACTAGAGTTTCTTTTTTTCTTTCACTCATACAAGCCTTCAAAAGTGCCAAGTGAACAATATTCACATGGGGGAAAAAATGTGTGTACAGTACATCATTTGGAATTGATCCGAATGGAACATCATCGGAAGGAGGTGAATACTTTCGCAAGGCACTGTGTGTTTTTTTGAGTTGACACTGAAAGGACATATTAGTTACTGAAATTATTAGGCTTTCCTGCATTTCTTCATCACTGTCGCAAGGACCGTTGTTCATCTGGGCCCAACATCCATCTGATAAATTAAAATTAATAATACCACGATAATCCCAAACACAAAATTCTGTCAGTCTGGTAACCAATTGATTGCTCTTGCCGACAGCTACCCCTTGCTCAAGTTGCCTTTGCCTGGAACAGGGCCGGTGGAGTTCACCACAGGGGTGCGAGATTATACCACACCACCCTCCGAGCCTCAAGGAGACCCTGGGGACCTGCCTGACTGGGTAAGATCCTGTGGGTGGAGGGTCAGGGTCAGTGTGCTCCTGATTTGTGTCTGTTCTAGACTCACTGTCTCTCTCCTATGCTTTGTTCTGTTATGTTGCTGCTGTAACACAATATCGTGTGCACCGTATGTTACTGTTGCTGTGTGTTCAACTGTCTCTCTCTGTACTGTTCTTCGTAAGCCTCCCTTCTTCTTGATCAAGCTCTATATAATGTAACCTCTGTCTCTATTATGTGGTTTGCAGTACTGCAGTCCCCCTGTAGCCTACATCCAGCAGGTCTTGGTGAAAGCTGCAGTGGTTCCCTGGGACAGTCGACTGGTCCCTGTTGATGCTTTCCGCTCCCCGCTGGCCCAAGTCTTCACTCTGCTGGAGGAGATTCGCAATCATGTGCACAGAGACAGGTACCACCGCATCCCAGTAAGGCACTGTGCACAAAGACAGGTACCACTGCATCCCAGTAAGGCACTGTGCACAAAGACAGGTACCACCGCATCCCAGTAAGGCACTGTGCACAGGGACAGGTACCACTGCATCCCACTAACACTGCACACAGCCAAGTTCCTTTGTATTCCACTAATGTACTGTGCACAAAGACAGGTACCACTGTACCCCAAAAACACACTACACAGCCACTTACCACTGTACCCCAGTAACACACTGTACCCCACTAATGTACAGTCGGGTACTGTACACTGTACCCCACTAACATGCGGTGCACAGCCAGGTACAACTGTATCACACTAACTCACTGCGCACAGACAAGTACCACTGTGCTCCCTTAACACGCTGCGCACAGACAAGTACCACTGTGCTTCTTTAACACGCTGCGCACAGACAAGTACCACTGTGCTACTTTAACACGCTGCGCACAGACAAGTACCACTGTGCTTCTTTAACACGCTGCGCACAGACAAGTACCACTGTGCTCCTTTAACACGCTGCGCACAGACAAGTACCACTGTGCTCCTTTAACACGCTGCGCACAGACAAGTACCACTGTGCTCCCTTAACACACTGCGCACAGACAAGTACCACTGTGCTCCCTTAACACACTGCGCACAGACAGGCACCAATGTAACAAACTAACACACAGTACACAGAGTCAATTAACACTTATTCCCAGGCTTCCTGGCCCAGTTTTCTTATATCTCTATAGCTTTCAACAGTCTCTGTATCTCTATCTCCCTCTCTTGCTCTTTCTGGGTGTAGTTCTGGCGTTCGCAGCCTGGAGTCGCTGTGTCTCCAAGTGACAGACTTGTTGCCGGGGTTGCGACGGATGCAGACGGTTCTTCCAGAGCACGGCTGCTTGCTCGTATCCCCCGGTAACTACTGGCAGAACCAGCGGGAGCGCTTTGACTCGGATCCGGACATTTTGCGAACTGTCCATCAACATGAACCCAAGGGCCTACACACATCAGCCACACTAAGAGGTATGGAAAAGGGAGGGAGCTTAAGAGAATGCTTCAGTCTGACTTCTTTTGAACAGCAGCATTTATTTTAAACCCTAGTTATTAATTATTCAAGGCTAACATGTTAACCTTTTTCACAGTATTATAGAGAGATATATCTGAATGTTACACCTGATCTGCTTTTTGGCCTACGTCTTACCTCTGTAGTATGAAGTAATAAATTATTATTTGACTAGGTAATATTGGATTACATAGAGGGTTTACAGGTTAAGTGGTAGTATGTGATATTCTAGTTCAATGAAAAACAGAAGAAATGTGTTGGAAATGTTGCTGCTAGGATCATCACAAAGCAAAGTTATTAGAATATTTGACACCCATTGCAGATTAAAATGAACCTTTAATCTTTAAATATAAAGTTGGCAAGAGTTACAAAGACGTTATCTTCATTCTGGGATCTGTATCATGTAGAATTCGACACCTGATCCACATGTTGGATGTACATCTTATCTTCGCAACATAACAGCTAACAGTTGCTTTACAGATCTAGGAACGTGGTTATATAGCCTGTGTGTGGGGTCGCTATCTGTCTATGACCTGATAATGATAGGCACACCTATTTCTGACCATTTAAATGCACTTGAAGTTTCTTGTCAGAAATGTGTTGTATCCCCGTGATGTTGAAATGATGTTATAACCCTGTCTGATATTTATCTTGAATGTGAGATTAACCCGCTTCAGTTTTTGTGTCTGAGCAATGCATTGCATGACCGTTTGCTTGTGCATTGCAGGGTTTGTGTTCATGGTGTGGTGTGTGTTTCAGATCTGCTGTTCGGCGTACCAGGAAAGCACACCGGGGTCAGTCTGCACAACAGGAAGCACGTGGTCACCTACACCATCACTTTGGCCCTGAGGAGCTATGACGCCAGGTCAGCACTGTGTACACCTACAACCACTACACACTCACTGTGCACTCAACACCAACAGCTTTATTTCCATTTGGAATCCTCTCTTGGACAAGAGCTTACTTTATTGATAAACCAGATCGAGTATTTCAAATTATTCTTATGTCGCCATGTTGAAAGTATTATGATAACCATGTTCAGGACACTACATTATAACGAAACGTGACATTATATAGTTGTCAATGAAATTTGAGTCAGAAATCAGAGTCATATGCAGTTCATAGCTTTGGTAAGGGTGATAGGGATGAATGTAATGTTAGAGGATAGAAAAAAATGTTACTGAGCTGAAAGTTAAAATGGGTTAGTTAAAGGTGTATTCTAGTAATAAAAGCTGGTTTATTCATATTTTTTTTATTTTATAGTGAAGTTTTGGATGCATGTAATAAGAAAGAGTCTGTAATAATAGAATACTTATATACAGATTGGGAAAGCCAGCTCTTCCAAATTGAATATAGACAAATGAGACAGTAGACAAGTGAGTTTTGCTCAAATAGTTCTCCAGTGCAATAATTATTTTTATTTTTCGAAAGTGTATATGTAGAGAGACAATAAATTAATTCCAAAAGCAGACACATCAAATTCTATCTCACACTGTCTAAATCAGCTTATATGTGTATTATCAGAAGAAAGGAATCTCTTCTAAGAAATATCTGGAATGTACTCAGCAAGGGAGAGACAGTAGGAAGGCGAAGGGAAAAAGGGTAGTGATCTGTAGTCTCATGCCAAAACAAACATTCGCCATACTAAGAAAGAGACAGGCAAGGATATTGCAGGAGGGGTTTCATCTAATACAGAGCGGTGTTACCAGTACTGTAACAATAAAGGAAGAAATGGTACAGGGGTATTATATATATGTGCTGCACTTTCATTTTACTCAACACAAAGTGAACATTTCTAATATTTTGAATTATTTTTAATAACATAGACCATTGTCCAAAATCAAAGCAGGAAAGGGTAATATGTGGATAGCCTTTAAAAGACAGATCTTGCTTATTGAACATCCTTGGCATTCTCTCAAACTAAACAACAGGAAATAAATACCAGGATAGTAGTGTGATATAAACTGTTATTATTTGTTAAAGGTTTTTGATGACATTTCTTATCAGACATTATTCTGGTAGCTATTCCTGATGTGAATCAAAGTGCAAAGAACAGGTGGCGGTGATGTGAATGGAGTACCGCAGGGATCTATTTTCAGTCCACTGTCCTGATATCTATTATTATTCTGAACCAGTTCATTCAGAAAAGATATGCAAAGGAGTCGGTGAGGTGTACACACCTTTGATGTTGTAGCAATGCGGCAGTGGGAGGAGCCGCAGAGAGCGTGTCAACGTGTCAAGTGTGAGGTTAGCAAGAAGCAAAAAGAAAACAACCCCCCCAAAAAAAAGGAAAAATACAAAAATGCGCCGCTTTTTTTGGAAAAAAGGATAAAGCACCCCGCTTGGCGATGGGGGATTAGACTGGACTTGCCCTATGTTCCGGGGTCCAGTCTGGGAGAGCAGGAAGGGAGCCCAAGGCCAGCATATAAAGTAAACATGGAAAAAGGTAAGCCTGCCCCGGTATAGACACAGGACGGGACGGGCTAAAAGAGAAAGACAATACGAAGAAGAACAACAGCCTCACGCTCAAGTACAGTCCCCCTCTGGGACTGCCGGTGTAGGGATCCTCCCCTTGCGGGGATAGCCCTTCTCGTCCTTTTCGGGGGGGGGGGGGCTCAATGGGCCTTTAAAGAGCCCTCCCAGCCGCCGCTCGTCCTTGATTAGGGTGTGATTAGCTGTGATTACAAAGGCAAGGCGTCGCCCTTTCCTCCAGGGCTCCGCCTCCACACTGAACACGCCCCTTGCGTGTACTCCCACATTGTATACAAAAGAAAACCAGAAGGGCTTAAGACATGACCATCAGGACTTTGTAGACATCATCAGGGCAATGCAAACAACAGGAATGGAGTGTGCATTGTAACTGTTAGTTGAGTGGCAGTGAACGTGAAGCAACAGTGTGTCAGCACACATGCACATAACTTACACAGCATATTCTCAATACAATATTGACACACACTGCACACATTCGTCTTTAATTTTATGTGTCTAACAAGCTCCACATTTCTCCCTCCCTTCCCCCCTCTCTTCACGGCTCTCCCAGGTTTCTGGGCAGTCTGCGCTCCCGGCTGAAGCAGCTCCACCCCAGTGTGAACTGCAGCCTGCGGGAGGACCACATGGTACACGTCCATTTCAAGGAGGAGATCGGCATCGCAGAGCTCATCCCCCTCGTCACGACGTACATCATCCTCTTCGCCTACATTTACTTCTCCACCAGTACGGCTCCCACCTCCTCCCTCTTTCTCTCGGTCACCCGCTCTGGTGTCGCGCACCTTAGCAGCAGCTACTGCTGTTGGGACGGTCTTGTTCTCATTTTATTTACTAACTGAAAAGAAAATCCTACAGAAACAAGAACTTGAGCTTAGAATAGCTCCACTGTTTTATTGGATAAGCTGTTGTCACAGACCTTGTAGTTAAAATGAAAGTGCAACAGTGACATCGCTTTTCAGGACTCCCAGCAGCGTTGAAGCCGTCTGTGCAGAAAGATTAGAAGCTGGGCTTGGCGGCCTCGTCTGCTGCTTGTGAGATGTGTGATTTTGAGGGCTAGCCAGTGAAAAAGGATGGAAAACTGTGTCTAACTGTATTTGCTTCTGTGGTCCTCTGTTTTGGATCGTTTTAAGGGGAAGAGTGCAGCAAGTTTAGTAGTGTATGCAAAGATTGTTATAGTTGCATAGCTTCCCTTTTAATTTTTCAAAATGGTTGTTTATTACGAGGTGTTTGTAGACAGTATTTGCACCCTCAAAGACTTCTCCAAAGCTGCAAGGTTTGTGCATTTTCAATAAAATAGATTCTTTGAAAATGGTATCCTTTTGTTTTGCTTTCAGTTAAACTGTTTATGCAGGTTGACATCTTTTTATCAGCAGAAATATACAGTGTTTGAGCCCCAGCGTGAATCCTCCAAAACATGGATTTGGATAATTGCAGGCACTCAGTGCTAAGAGTAGTGCTGCGCAGTTCAGGTCTGATAGGAGAACACTTTGCTGAGGGTGGGCTGAGGCGATCTTGAGGGAAGAACCCTGTGGTGGTTAAAGTTAGCAAGAACAAGTAATAAGTTTATTCCATGCTGAAAAGAGAAGAAGACACAACGTTTCGGCCGTGTCTTCTTCTCTTCTCACGGCCAAAACGTTATGTTTTCTTTCTTCTCTTTTCAGCATGGGATAAACCTATTACTTGTTCCTTTGCAGCCTACGCATGCTGATGCAGCTACCAACCCAAAGTTAGCAAGAATATACAAAGGAGTCTTGATCTGGATACGCAGGCTCCCTGTCTCAGTCTTGGTCTCAGCATCATCATCTTTGGCGTGCCCAAACAGTTGCCTGTGCACAGACGTACTTTAGCCTTTCAGTTTTATTTTGTGGATGTTTTGATCCCGTGCAGAATGTTCATTGTCTCTGTGTGATGTCTCCCCAGGGAAGATTGACATGGTGAAGTCAAAGTGGGGCTTGGCATTGGCAGCAGTGGTGACGGTGCTCAGCTCTCTGCTTATGTCAGTGGGGCTGTGTACACTCTTTGGACTCACTCCCACGCTCAATGGGGGGTAAGGCACTGATACCCTTACAGATAACAGAATTTAATCAAAAAACTCACTGGCCTAGTCAGGGGCCCACTAACACATATACAGTGTATGCTGGGACACAG